TCGTTACAGTACAAGCCATAGTTAAGGTGTCTAAGTGAATTATGCGGACAACTTTAGGGGGCAGTAGATGACTTAAGCCATTTTTAAATAATATATATTATTCCCTATGTCTGAATTCATGTGGCACAAATAAAATTTATAGAATCAACCAATTTTTCATTTGTTTTTCTGATATTTCAAATTAATTATTGTGATCTATAGTGATTTTTACGTCATTTTCAAATAATATTTGTTGCTTTGTTTGTCTTAGTTTATATGACAATGATAGAATTTTGATGTTAACCGAATTTTCTATGTCCTTTAAAATTTAAATATTTTAAATCATTTTTTATCGTGATCTGTAGTTTTTTTTTTTTTACATAATTTGCAAATATCCAAGAGACTAAAAGAATAAAATAAAATAATTTTCTTTTTAGAAAAAACGATACAATAATTATGCAAAATTTGTATTTATCCCATGGCTAAGAAATGTGAAAATTTTGGTTCATAGTTTAAAATTTATTTTCCTTCATTGTTGTTTCGGTGGAGTTCGTCGTTTCGAGTTTTCAAGTCGTTGAAAAAACAAAGATGATATACTTTGCTTTTGCATTTTATTTAAAGATTATTAATTCTGGTAATGTACATTGCACGTTTATCTTAAGATATTTTATATAAATTTTGTATTACGAATAACACATGTCATCACCTTCAAATCTATTGGTATTTCCTAAAAAAAAATCATCATTTTTATGATAGAACATATAGATATACCTTCCAAATAAACATAATACACCTTTAATTATAAAATAGACTCAAAATGTATAAAATAAAATTAACTAACTATTATACAAATACAATATTCGAATGAGGAAACTAATAAAAAAAAATCTGAGCTAATATAATTGACGATTTAAAAATATTTGATAACCTGAAGAGAGTTTAATATTTAATCGTGTTCCACGTACAATAAGTGTGTTTATACTAACTCAACGTCAATGTGTGTTTTAAAATTTGAAATCAAATTTAGCGTTTAATATATGTATTATGTCTTTATTCTAAATATGATAGTAAAGTATGTATATTTACATAGTTTTTCCAATAAATATTTCAAATCTTTTTCTCTATCTAATTTATTCTTATAAAAAGTATTTTTGGAATTTAACCACAAAATAGATACATCTAATCTATGAAGATTAGACCCAGCTGCCAACCCTAGTCAATTAATTTAGCTGTATTTTTTAAAATTGGATTATATCACCACAACTAATAGGTGACAAAAATTATTTATTGAATTTAATTGCTCCAACTCTATTGTCACTATTAGAATTAGAGGATTAAATTTCTTAATAAATATTCATTTTAATTTTTCATCCGATGTTCAGAGTTCATATTAATGTCCAGACTAAAATTTCTTAAGAACATAATAGCATAAAATAGGATAAGAACTGTTTAGATTAAATCAAAAAATCAAATCAAGTTGTACCGAATTTTAATTTGAATTGATTTCCAATTAAGAATTTACTCTTCTTCTTTTTTATTGGTTCACATATAGAAAAATAAAAATCAATAAACCGAAAAAGTCAAATTATATAATAATAATAATAACAATAACAGTAATAATAATAATAATTACGTTATGTAATATTAAAGTTGGAATTAACCATTTTGGTCATTTTTTAGTTGTTGCATTTCATTATGATTTAATCTTATATTATATGTTTTGACATCTATTGATATATTTCTAGGTATTGTGTTTTAAATCTTTTTTGTGATTTATATTATAAAATATATTTAAGAGATTTAATATTATTACATCTTCTAGTGGCTGGTATATATTTCTATTTTTTCTAACTTGCAAATATAACTTTAGTTATTTATTGATTATTGAAATGAATGAATAATCGAACATAAAAAAAAAATCAAAATAAATCACAATTTTTTAAATCAAAACAAATAATTCCCTTTGTTAATCAATAACATAAAAAAAAACAATATTTTGCTCAAAATAAAATAATTAAAGTTCCAACATCCAAACAATTAATTTTATTTAAATCCTAGTTTATAGTATTATAGTAATATTCATAAATTGTATATATAATTTTATAATTCGATAGGGTATTCAATATATTTTTCTTATATCAAATTTAATAACATATACCAAATATCAATTTATATATGCTGCCAACCCTAGAAGCTAACTTTGCTGTATTTTTTTAATTGGATTCTATCACTACAACTAATTAATAGGTGACTAAAAAAATATTAATTGGATTCAATCGCTACACAATGAATTTGTCACTAATAGAGCTAGAGGATTAAATTTCTTTAAAATAGAGTAACATAAAAATAATATCTGTGCATTATTCAGATTAAATCGAATAATTAAATTGAATTTTAGTTTGAATTAATTTTTCATTTGTTTAGAATTAAAATTGGAGTAAACTAGTTTCGTCTCTTTTTAGTTATTTCCTTCCGGCTTTCATTATGATTTAAGATTATATTTTATGTTTGAACAATTATGAAAAGAATTTTAGATACTGTGTTTTAAATTTTACTTGTGATTTATATTAGAAAGTATATTTTAGAGATTCAGTATTTTATATAGAGAGAGGAAAAATGCACAAGTACCCCTTAACCTATATTCGAAATTTCATAGACAAATTTATACTATATTAAGGTCCTATTACCGCCTTGAACTTATTTTATAATTTTCAGCATACGTGACACTATCTTGTGGGCCAAGCGTGTGTTGACATTTTTTTTTCAAGCTAGTGTCACGTAGGCCGACAGGGGGTAGAAAATTATTTATAAAATAAATTCAGGGGGCAATAGAACCTTAGTTTAGTATAAATGTGTCTCCGGGATTACGGACATAAGTTGAGGGGGTATTTGTGCATTTTTCATATATATATAATGTACAAGTACCCCGCAAGACTATGACTGAAATTCCAGAGACATACGTTAACTATTCTAAGGTCCTATTACCCCCCCTGAACTTATTATTTTTGTAATTTTGTGCACCTTTTTTGCTTACGTGGCATCCAAATATCTCCCACGCGCCTCAATTGCGTGGAGTCATGGAGTGTGCCACGTAAGACAAAAGCTGTATAAAATTACAAAAAAAATAAATTCATGGAATAATATATAGGACCTTAAATAGTTAAGGTGTGTCTGTGGAATTTTTAGTCATAGTTAAGAAATACTTGTGCATTTTCCCTATATATATATATTCAACTTGCAAATATATATAACTTTGATTATGTAATTCATTATTGACATGATTAAATAGCCGCATCGAAAAAGTCAAACTACAAAAAAAAGTTAAACTAAATCAAATTTATTTTATTTCGAATTAAATTACACTTTTTCAAAAGCAAACTAAATGCACACCCCTACCACAAAGTGCAATCTATATATATGTGTGTGTGAAAAATGCAATTGAATTGCACATTCAAAATTTTGGAACATTACTTAGCTTAATTTATATTAATTTTTTTGATAGCTAAAATGGCATCATCAACAATTATATCTAGAAAAATGATTAAACTTTTATCCCCAACTCCATCTTCACTTAGATGTCACAAACTCTCTTTCATGGATCACATAAATTTCCCTCTACATTCTCCATATGCCTTCTTCTACCCTAAAATACCTCAAAATTATAGTAACAAAATATCACAAGTACTTGAAAATTCCCTTTCAAAAGTATTGTCCTTTTATTATCCCTTAGCTGGAAAAATCAATAATAATTATACCTACGTCGATTGTAACGACACAGGTGCTGAGTATTTAAACGTCCGTATAGATTGTCCAATGTCTCAAATTCTCAACCACCCTTATAACGATGTTGTGGATGTAGTTTTCCCACAAGATTTGCCTTGGAGTAGTAGTAGCTTGACTCGAAGTCCACTAGTGGTTCAATTAAGCCATTTTGATTGTGGTGGAGTTGCAGTGAGTGCATGTACATCACATACAATTTTTGATGGATATTGTCTCTCTAAATTCATAAACGATTGGGCGTCTACAGCTCGAAACATGGAGTTCAAACCATCTCCTCAGTTCAATGCATCAACTTTCTTCCCTTTACCGTCTGAAACTAATTTGAGTAGCACCCTACCTGCAACGCGTCCATCACAACGTCATGTCTCAAGAATGTATAACTTCTCATCCTCGAATTTGACAAGACTCAAGGACATCGTAACAAAAGAATCACATGTGAAGAATCCAACTCGCGTTGAAGTTGCCTCAGCACTTGTTCATAAATGTGGGGTGACTATGTCAATGGAGAGTTCAGGCATGTTCAAACCAACTCTGATGAGCCATGCTATGAATTTACGCCCACCAATTCCACTGAACACAATGGGAAATGCAACATGTATCATTCTCACAACAGCAATGACAGAAGATGAGGTAAAACTTCCAAACTTTGTTGCTAAACTACAGAAGGATAAACAACAACTTCGAGACAAGTTGAAGGATATGAAAGAAGATAGGATGCCCTTATATACACTTGAACTAGGTAAAAACGCGATGAACATAATAGAGAAGGATACACATGATGTTTATCTTTGCTCAGGCATGACCAATACTGGATTACATAAGATCGATTTCGGATGGGGTGAACCTGTAAGAGTAACCCTAGCAACACATCCAAATAAGAACAACTTCATTTTCATGGATGAACAAAGTGGAGATGGGCTAAATGTACTTATCACTTTAACAAAAGATGATATGCTCAAGTTTCAGAGCAACAAGGAGCTTCTGGAGTTTGCTTCTCCAGTTGTTGAATCAACCAAATAAGTGTCAACAATGACATCTTTATAATTGTACTTTCAATATTGCAATGAATAAAAGCTGTTTTCTATATTATATAATATATAGTTAAGCCTGGAGATAAAAGAGCAACATAAACCAACTGCATTAGAAACCAAGAGGTAGACCAAATGAGTACTATATATATATATATATGACAATCAAAGGTTACAGAATTAGATGAATTGAAGTCATGTTGCACAATACAAGAAGGATGCAGGACATCGAATATCGAATAACTATATGTTGCTACCAGAAACTTTATGATCCTCGATATCAAGAGATAATCCTGATGTATGATTAAATTGGTCCCTCATCATAAAAACTGAATGTGGCTGCTGGTATGGTGGGCTCACGCTTGATTCCAATATCTGATGTGGAAGTGCCACGTTGCCCACTCGTTGTTTCTTTGAGGAACTCTCCCCGTTAGGGCTCTCCATTAGCGAAGTTTCTTGGCAATCAGAGTCTGGACTGAGAGGAGAATGATGTGAGGAGAATGATTCGTCCATAGAAAGGCTCTTGGTTGAGGTATGTGCATTTACAGGCTTATCAACATGAGGAGCCTCAGATGACGGTGCAGGAGTTCCTGGATCAGTCCTGCTATCAGATTCTGGGCCGTTGTCACCAGTTGGAAGAGCAGTGACCCCAGAACCAGGAACGTCTGAAAGAACTCCACTCAACCGCTGTTGCTCTTCGATTATTTTCTTCAAATACTTACCTTGAGCTTCTATTCTAAGTTGTAGCTGTTTCTGCACCTGTTAATGTAAGAAAAAATGAGGGTAGTCACAAGCATAAAACTTCTGCAGCACTTCATTAACAGGAGTCCCTCATGCAGGATAATATGCTTACCAAACTCGGGAGAAATAAAGTAAAGATGAATTTAACTTTACCCAACTAAATTACGGTCCATTTCATAAAGAATGGTCAATTAATCATGTGCTCTTTGGTGAAACAATAGATAAACTCTATCAGTGACTAGGAAATGTTCTTGAGCATGATGAAGCTAGTCTATAACGTATGAACACTTCGTTTGTTAGCTGTGCGAATGCGCATGTCCAACAGTTAACCTGAAAATGGTAAGACATGGGAGTTTTGATCCTCTAACACAGGATATTGTTAACCTACGAAAAAAGATAGTCTTTCTGCCCCCAATGCGCATGTCCAACAGTCTGCCTGAAAATGGTCAGACATATGGGAGTTTTGATCCTCTAACACGGAATATTGCTAACCTACGAAAAAGATAATCTTTCTGTTACATTTTTTGCATTATTCCTCTCATTGTGCATCATTCCTCTTCGTAATAGCTTAGAACCATGTGGAAGGCTTAGTCTCTACCATCTCAACCACTAGAAAACGAGGAAAGTTTATACTTTCTGCTACATTATTCCATTTCATTTACAATGCAAGGATGGTGTATATCACGCTAGTGCAGTTGCTCTCTGCTTTCATGACTAGCATAAATATAAGACCACATTTTAAGAGATGCAGCTTACTTACTGATGCATCTAAACTTTCTTCAGACAAGTTACGTAAATGAAGAAAAAGGATTCTTGCAGGTCTTTGTTTAAGCGGTAATGTTGAAAAACAAAAGGTTAAAGCAAAAATTAGAAGTCCGTGGCTATCATTTGCTTATTATTTTTTGCAACTTATAGAAGACAATTTTCCCATTGGACAAGAGAAGGATATTCTTGCTACACAAAGCAACAAGAATAAACTCTGAACCACAATTGTTTACCTGTCAATAAAATGTTTCCTGGGGACTATAACTATATCTTACCTAAAAATAATTAAAAGAACATACCTCCAGTTGTTCATGCAGTCTCTTTTGCACCTCCATCTGCAGCTTTAGAGCCGTAGTGATTTCCACTCCTCTGTTAACAAACAATTCTCTCTCAGGTCAAATATTTAAGATCCTTAAAAATAGAAACCACTTCAATTTTTTTAAACAAAAGACCGCCTTAACGGCCATGATAAGAGTACAAGACAAGCTCAGATACATTCTCAGTTGGTGAGCATTCAAAAGAGATCTACAGAAGCAACAAGGAAAAATCTACTCACGATGAACCATCCAAACTTGAAAGCATATCTCTTGGTTCTTTCTTATCAGAGTTTTTCCCTTGCAATCACAAGATGAAGCCACATCACTAAGTTAGCATTATTGGAGAAGAACCAACCTCAGCCACATTTTCAAATAATCAAGCTAGGTTCAAAATATAAGTAGTACGCAACCATGAAGATTTTGAATTCCATCAGAACCTACCATCAGATGAGGAATCTGGAAGATATTTAGCAAGTCGATATTTCTGAATCAACAGGAAAATAGATGCAAGTCAGTTACAAGCAACACAACCCCGAAAGAAAAGATGTACAAACATGGTGAATGTATCTATACCTGTAAATGGCTTTTTACATGGTATATGGTAAGCCCTTGTACACCCATGACTCTAAGAACGCCTTTCGGTGTAGCTCCTGAACCATAGAAAAGCTCTTAGAATCTTTTATCACAAAGGAAGGTAATTTTATTAATGAAGAGCACCAAGGAGGTAAAGCAGAAGTGCAAGAGGTCCTAACAGTACAGCAGTTACATATAAAGGCCATCCAAAAGATAGGCTGGATTTTCTAACATACTGCCCCTACACCACATGTACACACGAGCAAATACAGGATAACTTTGTACACTCCTCAAAGAGTTTTTACTCCCTCCGTCCTCCTCTTTTTGTAACATTGTTTGACTGGCATGGAGTATAAGATAGCTTGACTTATATATTATACAAGTAGTAGTTACAGTGGACTAAATATTTTATAAAAGCTGAGAGTTTAGTTTGAAAGAGAAATCATCAAATTAAAGCTTAAATTTTGATAACTTAGATAAATCTGAATTCTAGAAACTTAAAGTAGTTAGATAAAGTCGTAATACTTTCAGTTGAATAGTCAGACGTTTTGGGACGTTCAGAAAAGGAAGAAGTGTAAGCATTAATTAGGAAAAAGGTGTATTAGTGATTACAGTTGTCAAATCTAGATCATTTGATGATTTAACTGATGGAAGACCACACAGATCATAAAGCTTCTTCAGCTTCAAGAAAAAAAATTTTAAAAAAAATCACAGATTATATAAACATACAAATTGAAACTTGTAGCATCTTGCAAATTTACCAAAGGTCGATTCTATATCTCCAATTGAAAAGATTAAGATAAAGCTGTCGTTTCCTTTTTTCCCCACTATGTTGCATAAAGCTATGGCTTGAGCAAATATATGAAACGATAACCAACAGTTGGATCAAGTGAAATTTGACCCCCTTGATTCTTGGGAGAAAGCTTGCTTTTACGTAAAAATCTACCCTCGGTTATTTATGATTTGTATATGCTTGAGCAAGCGTCTTTGTTAAGGTGTTTAAGAATTAAGGTATATGTACAAAAAATAATATTTGATCTAGATAGGTTGTTTATTTTGCCGGAAAAGGGTGTTAAACTGAGAGCATTTCAGCATATGCAGTTAGGTCCCTGCACCCCACTATAATGGTTCCAACAAAGGTAGCACCCAAGCCACTCCAACATAGACGTTGGGGTCCATAGGCAGGGGGGGGGGGGGAGGGGGGGGCTGAACAAAGTGGAAGTCCAGAAACTTACTATCTGGGCCACCAAGTTGTGCTACAGCATCAACAAATCGTTCATGAAGCTCATTGGTCCAACGCAGACGTTGCTTTGAGGCAAGACTAGAACTGTTGTTGCCTCCACAGGAAGGGTCCATTGAACCGCCACCACAGTCTAATGACTGACTATTGACAGCAGCATTGTTGTGTGCTAAGCTTGAACTGGGAACGCCTTTGGGCTGATACATTTCATTTATCTACAAAAAATAATGACACAGACTTCAAAAGTACTATAAGAATTTCAAAGTCAGCAAAACAAATAAAAGAGCAGTACTTCCTGAAATTCACCACACAGAGAAGCAAAAGATCTAGTCCTCTTGAAATGCTCCGGTTTTCCTTGATTCCATGTGAAATTTTGTACCAGATACCCCTTTTTACATTATTATAACAATTCTCTGGCCAACTAATTCACCTATACCTCAGTTAACTCATCATTTATTAGAAGTGACCTAACCATCAAAGTACTACAGTGGCTCGAGCACCAACTGCTTTTGACTGGGGTTTAAGTATTTATAGAGGCAAAAAATGCTGAAGTATGATCGAGCAACCAAAGACTCAGAAAAGGTCAGTGGGTACGATTTGGCTAAGGCAGATGAAGCAGCTCTGTATTTCCTCGTGCTGCGGGATCAAATCTCCGCTCGAGCAATTTGTCTTTTTCAGATGATACTTTTTACTTTGTTGTTATTCCTTTTTAGTTTCTCATTTTTATTTTTACTTTCTTCCCAATTTCCACTCTGCTCCAAAACAACCATCTCTTTTTTTTTCTTTTTCCCTTTCAATGAGAAATTGCTCTTCCTCAACGACGTCCTTCTTACTCCTCTATTAGAGCTCTTTTTCCCCCAATGAAGCTTCAACTTTCTTCTTATCCCTCTCCGTGGTCTCAATAGTTGGATTTTGTGCAGAGGTGATTCCCTCCTTCCTCTATTTTTTTCTATTGATTTCTGAGACTGAGAGACCAATTAAATATAGTTCAAAACATTTTTTGTGCAAATTTAGGAACTTTCAAGGTATGCTAATCTAAAGCTAATAATTTTGCAATGAATTTTGATTTTGGAAATGAATTCAGTGTAAGCATTGATGACACTATATATGTTTTTATGGTATGTAAACACCAAGGAAAATTATAAAAAAAATCTTTTTAGCTGTTATTAATCATAGTTTACTTGTTAGATAGTTTCACCATCAAATATCAAATAGTTGCACGCTATTACTTAGTGCCTATATGCTATAGCAACTCTAGTTAAGCCAGTCGAGAATCCATGACTTTAAAATCCCGAGTCCACCACTGTTGCTATCCAACTTCGCCCTTCTACTCCAAAATTGACAAGTCTATAGTAGTGTAAGTACAACATTCCCTGTTATCAACAACGATAATATATCTCCTTATCTCTTCATTAATGAAGTTAA